TGAAATGATGAAAAAAATGAGTGTTTTCTTTTTTCCCATTTTCACTTTGATCACTTCTTCCGTAGAAGCTCGAACAAAGGGGAAAGTCGCCATCGGTACTCACATAGGAAGAAGCAAACATTTTGGTTCGGCAAAAAAGCTTCCTCTATACTTTGATGAAAGAATGACTTATAAAATACTAAAAAATCCTTTCAACCTAGACCTAAATAAACCTTTAAGATCTAGTAATTTTTGGTTTATTTGATAAACTGAGGCATGGTGGATAGCAACTCGGAGTGAAGAATCAGAGGACCGAGTTCGAATTCCATTCTTGTTAGCTACATTCACTTCCAGGCAAATGCTCTTGAGAAAGGCATGAATCCAAATCTTCCCCACCCAGTTATGGGTAAATAGCAGGAAAGAGTGGAACCTATAACCTTGGATGACATCCAGTATAAGAGAAGGACAACTCTCAAGTTGAAACGTCCATAGGTTAAACAATCTCACCAAACTGCAATTGGCCAATCGTGGTGAGTACGGCTATCCCCTAAGGACATAGTCGATCAGGGAGAGGTCCCTCAAAATAGGAAGAAGACCCTGGATCTGGCTCTATTCGAATGAAATTTTATCTCTGGTAGTTTTTTTTTTCTATAAACCATGGACACTATCAAACATGCTTTGCTTTCGAAAGGAGTTCAGAAAAAGTGAACTAGAGAGATAAAACAAATAAATTTAAAAAGAAAAACAAAAAACGTCACGATAACACAAACTGTCACGTGAAGACGTTGAGCTTTGAAAATAATGAAACCGACATCGGACAAAACGCAAAACTCTTTGATAGTAAGTTATGAAGGCGGAACTTACTCAGACAATGGACAATTTATATTTAAATATGTAATAAGATAAGGGACAAATAGTAAACGCTTATAAATCTAACACGTTTCGCTAATATTAAGTCTTAATCAGAGAATGTGACACAGAGAAATTAAAGAAAGAGAAAAAATATCTCATTCCCTGATGAAGCTTTAATAACAGCGAAACATGTTTCCTATTTGTTCCTTATCCTATCAGTCTGTTGGATTTCCATCTGTATTTCATGCCACTTCATTTAAATATATAACGGAAGCCAAGAAAGTGACCCGAAATATAGAAAAAAATCCTTAAGAAAGAACTTTCTTTGATCTTTAACCAAACTTCCATAGATTTTGGTCTTGTGCCGAAATTATGGTTCCTCTCTGTCTGTGCAAAAATCGGAAACCCGAGCCTTTGTCAGTGACGCACTCTTTAGCAGAAAACTAGGTGTCATTTTGCTGATTTATTTGTTCTGTATATCCAACATGTAACCACACAATTTACAGGAGTGAGTTCTTTCGATTAGCACCAATAGCCTTTTTCAAAGACAGTTATTGCTGCAATATCATCAGATTCATTTTCCAAATATTGCATTTCGCTTCAAAATCCTATTTGTGAAACAATTAATAAAAGGCACCATTATTCAATCTTTTTTTTTTTTTAAATAATGCTTACTCTGTACAAGGCCCAAAGCCACTCGAGGTAGAGGGTTACAGAGTAAGAGGCAAAGTTTATGAGGATATGTGGGTAAAGATAACGGCTAACTCTAGACTTTAACAGGATAATACAGTAATGATCGGGAACCATCCTCTTGGGAGTCTGATCCACAAAGTAGCGATTCGTGGGAAGAAGCTATTTGAGTGGATCTTATATATTATCAATGGAATACAAAGGGAATGGGCGTGGTTCGCTAAAATCTGAATGACATGGCGGATCTTAGCTGTTTCATGCTAATCTCAATCGTCAGCCCACCGATTGCGTCCAGCTTTAAACAGCCTGTCGCCTCTGAGTGTTGACTTCAATGTTCACTTTTATATTTACACACGCTCTATCTCTTATATTGAGCACTTTATCCCATAAATATAGAACACCTTAATGTATATATATATATATATATATATATATATATATATATATATATATATATATATATATATTTAAACAGATTTCTAGTACTGCCAAATCTAATCAGACATTTGAGGAATAAAAAATATGGGATCATATTAAACATAAGTTCCAAAAATATCCACGTTTAAAACATAAAATGTAAGGTACCTTTCGACCGACACATTTTCAAACACAATCGTCGGTAATCTAAAACGGAGTACTAACAAGAAAATTTTTTTATTAATACCGTAATAAAACAAGATGGTAAGGGAAAAAAAATTATTTTACCTCAAATCATGTAACCGTTCCCCCAAATAAGACCAACTTAAACTTCATCTCCCGTTGTACGCAGAGGGCCGGCCTACGTATTTTGATAATAACAGACTCCAAAATGTCCAGGTGGAGTCTATATATATATATATATATATATATATATATATATCACTGCTGATGAGTCCCAAATATAGGACGAAATGGCCGTCAAGTGCTTTCTGCATTCTGTTGAGGTTTCTTCTAGGCTCGATGAATTACTTAATTATGATTATCTCAAATCATTTTAATAATTTCTATCACTTTTGATATGTCCTGGAAATGGATATATTTGAACGAAGTAGCTAAGTGGTTTGGGCTACTATAATCAAGTAGAATACGGTAGCAGTAATCGACTGGTACGCGTCGTAGTCGCAGGTAAGAAGTGTAGATCAATGGCGTAGTCCAATGGGCGTCGTTATAGACTTAGCTCTCAGACTAAGGCTCTTTGACTCTCCTACACGTCCGTCGGTATTTATGACGGACATCAGTGAGGGGGAACATAGGTGTATGCATATTCCATTATATCAACTTTATACACACACACACACACACACACACACACACACACACACACACACACACACACACATATATATATATATATATATATCCCTGTGAACAAGTGAATTGCATAATATAAAAATGCGTCTATCGGAATAATAGGGGGACACAGAATTAAAGATTGCGGCAGCTAATTCCTTTGATTTGATTGTTTAACGACATAACATATGGGTCATTTAATACCGAAATATAGTTTTTTTTTAGCTTTGAAGTAATAAAATATGTTATTTGTGTTTTCTTTCCCAATTGAATACAAGTTAGATGTAGACAAGCACAAATAACAAGCTTTTGTGCATATACATGTTTGTGTGGACATAATTATTAGTGGGTGCATGTGTGTGTTCTATGTTCCTTTGTTGAAGTTATATTTTGGAAAACAGTTTGATTTCATTATGAAATCGTAGGATATTATATGGATGAATATCAGTAAAGAGTTTTTTTATGTTCATTGTTCGTCTGGTTGATTTTATTTAGCAACTTATCAGCTCATATGGGTTATTTAATGCCGAAATCTAGATATTTTGAACGAAGTTTTATGGCTTCAACTAAATGTATTTTGGACACAATTGTATGTCTTCAGCTACAGATAAATCTATTGTTAGTCATTTTGCTATAAAATGCATTGTTGTTAATTCTACTATAAATAGACATTGGTCATTTTACTATAAATAGGTATTATTGGTAATTTTGTTATATATATATCTATTGCTGGTATTTTTACTATAAAAATGTATTTTTATACTTTCATAGTGTTTTGCTTTTGTTTGGGGATTCACTCTTTTTCCATAGCTGGAAATCTAACAGGTGCTATCATCACAGGTCAGGTTGGACCTGGAAACAAAAGCAATTAAGAGGTAGTTCTACTCTCCTCAAAACTTTCAATAAAAAGTTTAGAGAACTTACTGCCGGATGTGGTTTATCGTCATAGTCAGGACTATGCCGACTAACAGAAAATAAAATAATAACTCCAAATTTAGGGCACCAAGTGAGGATCGAACTTCAATCGTAATGCAGCAAAAGATGAGCAGGTCTTATAATTGCATCATGACGAAGTTTATAATTATGTCCCTAGAGATGACAAGGCTATCAATGAGAAGGAAGCCTGACTCGCCACCAGAATTATGTTTCAAGATATTGTAGTTTTTATGGAGTCAAGCCAGAAAAGAACGAATGACATTTGTCCTTTTTCCCCTTCAAAATTCACATTAAATTTATGGCTCCAGTCAAAAATTGGCTGCATCAAGAGATGACTTGCAGTGATATCATTGTTGCTGTCTGCTGCTTGTTTCCAGTTGGCCTTTTCACTGTTTGCCTTTCATCGACAAAGAAAAATGAGTTTCAAGGGAAAGGAAGGTTTGAATGAAATCTTGAAATTTCTAATAAATCGCTCCCAGACTGATAAGGCCAACAATATTTCATCTTTGCTTTCTTAGTCTTTTGCCGTCCTTATCTCTCTTCTTCGTCATCACACTTGCTGTTATTTGTCATCTTCGTTTCTGTAACAATGTTTTCGAGATGCATTTTCGGCAAATAAATGTTAACGGCGAGGCTGGCGTGCGAGGGTAAACGAGAGGGGGGGGTCTTCCCGATTCTTCTAACCTCCCCGCTTCCATCTTGCCTCTTTCATTATTGCTAACTGTATGAAGAATTTAATGCTCTTTCTCTTTCTCGTTGTATTGTCCAGCATTCTAATCTCTTTGTCCACGCTGACCAAACCAAGTTAAAAAGTGAACAACAACAACAACAATGGGCAACCTGTCCCTCCCTAAAATATCTCTGTCATCTGGCCCGGATAATAATTGCGGCAGCGAGACAAAGAGAACCACCTGTGTGTTGATGCAAATGGCGGAGGGAGGGAAAACTTTACAGCTGTTTGCCACTGATTAGTAATGCAAGGAAAGGAAAGAGAGAAGGACAACAAAAGAGGAAGAAAAGAAAATGGATGAAGAAGAAAAAGGGAGTGAGAAGAAGCGAAAAGGCAAGAGATAACCGTGAAGAGAAGGGTAAGGACAGAATGTTAGAGTTAGGAGGAGGAAGTGGGAAATGTGTAGGAAATGTGAGAGAAAGTGAAAAGAATAGAGAAAAAGGAACAAGAAAGAAAGGAAAAGAAGATTCATTTTGGAGGGAAAGCGAATAAAAAAAAAGCGAGGAGAGTCATGAAAAGGGAAAAGCGAGTGTGAAATGGAGAGTCAGGATGGAGGGAAACAGAATAAGAAAGGAGAGGAATGGAGAGCCAGAAAGAAGGGAGAAGGTGAGCAAGTATGGAAGAAAAGATAAGAAGAAGACAGGGAAAAGGAGAGTCGGGATAGAGGGAAATGGAGAGCTAAAAGGGAGGGAAATGGAGAACAAGGAGGGAAAAGGACAGTCAGGATGGAGGGAAACAGATTAAGAAAGGAGAGGAATGGAGAGCTAGAAAGTATGAGCAAGTATGGAAGTATAGATAATAAGAAGACAGGGAAAAGAAGAGTAAGGATGGAGGGAAATGGAGAGCTAGAAAGCAGGGAAATGGAGAACAAGAAAGGAGGAAAAATGAGAGTCAGGATGGAGGGAAACAGAATAAGAAAGGAGGGAAAATGAGAGACAGGATGAAGGAAAAGATATTAAGAAAGGAAGGAAAAAGAAGGTTGGCAAATGGTGAATAAAGTGAAAAGAAAAAAGAAGAGCGAAAAAAGACGAAGGCTGGTGAAATGGAGAATGAAATGAAGAGTACAATTATAGTGAGAATGGTTGGAAAGAGAAAGTAGATAAAACGAAAGTAAGGAGGGGGAATATGAGAGTAAAGAAAAGAAAAAAAGATAGAGAAATAACAATGAAATGTGAGAGGAAGGAAATAAACGAGGAGTAAGAAGAGAGTGAGATGGGAAAGAAAAAAAAAAGGAAAGCTAAGTTACAGAAAAGGAGTGTTGGAAAACGACAGAAAAAGAAAGAAAGACAAGAGAGAATAAATAAAAAGAAAGTGCGAATGAGAGAAAGTGGGAGGACAGAATGGCGAAAAGAGACCAAGTCGGAAAAAAGAGAAGATTGGAATATGACAATATAAATAGAATAAGAAGGGGACGAAATGAAATGTGAAAGCAACCGAAAGAGAAGTGAATTATAAAAAGAAAAAAAAACCCAGAGACCAAGGATAAAAACAAGAGAAGTATAATCAGAAACATGAGTAAAGAACGATAAAAGACAGAGTAAATGTATAAAATAACAAAAGGAGATAGTGGGGAGAAGGTCAGCGAGAACACGAGAAGAAAGGTCATAGACTGCAATAAAAAATGGTCACCAATGACAGTTACATCATGACAAGAAGCTGCGACCCTCGTCTCCCCAGCCTCGAACCGAAAATCAGATTTCAGCATTGAAAGAATTGGTAGTGCCAAAATATGACCCCAATTTGCAGGATCATCCGATGGCCAAGGTGTCATCAGACAATACATGATGATGATTAATTCATTTTATACACAGTATTATTTGGTTCATCTCAAAACTTCGCAAGGAAGTAATCTCCCCCGTCCCCCATCGCGTTACCCAGTGTTAAAATCTTTTGGCATGATTCAGTTGGTCTTAGAGAACGAGTCACCATCAATAACAGTGTGATAAAACCCAGAGACAAATACATATTGGACCAAACAAAAATTGTTTTCTAAATCAAGGATTAGTCATGATGATATCAGAGTTCTTCATATGTACACACAAGCGAATATGATGATGAACAGTTTCAAATCAACGATAAAAAAAGAGCAAAACATTGCAGTTTCATACATTTGCTATTTTCATCGATCAAACATTCACGAAGATCATGTTTTTAACCTTATAATTATAAAATATACATCAGCAAAAATTAAATACCTGCCCATTTAACTGGATGTAGGCAGGCGTAGAGTAGAGGCTATCAGTTGAGAAAGTGAAATTAAAGTGTCGAGTTCAAATTTCACCTGAAGCCGTTAGTTTTTTTTTTTTACGGCATATCAATCTCAATGGGTTATTTAATGCCGCCAAGATTTTTATTGCTGATAATATTTTCTATCTATCTATCTATCTATCTATCTATCTATCTATCTCAGTATATGTTGGTTTGAATTGGTTTGTATTACGACATATCAACCTCAATGCGTTATTTAATGCCGACAAGATTTTTTATTGCTGATAATATTTTTTTCAAGAAAGGTATTGCTGGTATATTTTTATTTTTTTACATTATAATTTTTTTTCAAGAAAGATATTGCTGGTGTTGAGGGTAAACTGCTGATAATTTTTATACAAATTTTCATTACTAGTAATAATTCTTTTACAAAAATGTATTGATGGTAATACAACCTATTTTTACACGATTTGACTTCAGTTTGGGGGGTTAACTATTTGCTCATAGCTGGGACCCTAACAGGTGCTACCACCACGGGTCAGGGTGAACTTGGGAAGACCTGCAATTAAGAGGTAGTTTCACGCTCCTCAAAACCTCCTGATCAGATGCCTTGATGTCGGATGTAGTTTATCGTCTTACCCAGGTTCACTTTTGAGCAAAAGTCCATCTCTACTCCTTCACCGCTCTAGCTAGGTGTTAATAGCGAGGCAGGCTGAGCTATCTAGTCGCGGTTGGCAATCTATCTATAAGAAGTACAAGTCTGAATTTAAAAATAAGTTGGACGTGGAGCTGCAAACTCTCCAGAAACTATGGTAGCAAGAACTGGTTTGGGGAATCTGTGGTACTATTCTCCAATGAGAATTCAACAGCTTTATATATATATATATATATATATATATATATATATATATATATATATATATTTAGCACTATTTGCCTGTCCACAATTATACTTATAATAAGGAGATTTACTTGACCAACTGAGTCAGATTGTGACATAAGGTTAGTTTTTAACGTGGGGACACGAGTGTTTCACTCGGGCCGCTGGTCTAATCTAGTCTTAGCTGGTCATAGCTTGTCCAAGCTGGTCTAACCTAGTCCTGGCTTGTTATAGCTGGTCCAAACTGGTCAGAGCCGGTCCAAGCTAGTCGTAGCCATGATACCACCATCACAGGGACGGAACCCTGTGCCAGGTAAGGATAATTACTTGAACCCCCCCACTGAGTCAGGTTGTGACACAAGGTCAGTTCTTAACGTGGGGACCAGAGTGTTTTCACTCGGGCCGCTGGTCTAAGCTGGTCTTGGCTTGTCATAGTTGGTTCAAGCTGGTCAGAGCCGGTCCAAGCTAGTCGTAACCGTGATACGACCAGCACAGGGACGGAGCCCTGGGGCAGGGAGGTATAACTTATACTGATAGTAAGAGTATATCACACCGGTAGTATAATTTCTTCGAGAACTGAAATGTTCAAGAAGGATATGATTTTCCTTTCTCAACCAGAATGGCTCTTCATCTAAATAAAAATAAGTTAAGCAGAAACTTTACACTTCCTGGGATTCATTTGAATACACAATATGTAATTCAGTTATGACATAGTCTTTCTTGAACTGTTTATCTCTTTCTTACATCTCATAGCACAATCCTGTTAGTAACACTTTTATTTATTCCTGTTCAATGACAATCTAACGACTATCACTTTCTCTTGGAATGATATTTACACAGGATTTCTATAATAAAATCCGTCCTGGGTATGACGATAAACTACGTCCATCAGCAAGGCATCTGATCAGGAGGTTTTTAGGAGTGTGAAACCACTTCGTAATTGTAGTTGTTTTCAGGTCCACCCTGACCAGGGTGGTAGCATCTGTTAGGGTCCCAGCTATGGGAAATAGTAACCCCCCAAAATGGGGTCAATACACTAGGAAAATATAAAAATAGATCTTTATAGTAAAATAAAGTTATTTTTGAAAAAAAAATATACATACATATACATATATTATCAGCATTACATTTTTGAAAAAATATTACCAACCATACATTTATAAAATAATAAATTATTACCGGCAATATATTTTTGAAAAAAAATATTACCAGAAATATATTTATGAAAAAAAAATACCTGTAATACATTTAAAAAATATTACCAGCAATACATTTTTGAAAAAAAATACCAAGCTATGCATTTTTGAAAAAAATATTACTAGAAATACATTTATGAAAAAAAAATTTGACATTTAAAAAAAACCCAATACATTTTTGAAAAAAATAAAAATATGCATTTTTGAAAAAAAATATTACTAGCAAACATTTGATCTAAAAAACTTTATAAAAAATATTCAATTATGATCTAAAAACTGATTTCTTATTGTAAGAATTGTAATACATTATAGAATATGTGTTTATTGTAAATACATATTCTATTCATGCGAACCTATCCGAAAAATCATGTTAGCATTAAACTGAGGTTGATATGACATAAAATAAAATAAACCGAACGGTAATAAAGTTATTAACAAGGCATTCTTATAATAAAGTCATTTACAATAGATTCCTGTAATAAAGACATTTACAAGGGATTTCAATAAATTAATTTATAACGGATTCTTATAATAAAGTCATTCACAGTGGATTCCTATAATAAAGTCATTTACAACGGATTCCTATAATAAAGTAATTTATAACGGATTCTTACAATAAAGTCATTCACAGTTGATTTCTATAATAAAGTCATTTACAACTGAATCCTACAATAAAGTAATTTATAACGTATTCTTATAATAAAGTCATTCACAGTGGATTTCTATCGGAAGATTATTTGTAATGACTTTATGAAGAAGCGCTGGAAAGTTCTTCAGCCAGAATGATTATGCAAAAATCAGTATTTTCATGACTAGATATCAGAATAATGATACATTCTTGATGATAAAATGACCAGGAATTCAAATTCCATAATACATATTATATGCCCTATTCTGTTAGTAATGCTAGTATTTATTCCTGACCACTGACAATACCTTCTTGCATTATTAGTGTATTTTTACAGTAAACTTATCAGCAATGCTTTTCCATTATACATAGAATAATCACATTTTGTCATTTATGCATACATTAATTTCTGACCACTGACAATAGACTTTTCTGGTACTAAATGTGCAAAATACAGGGAAATTGTTAAACTCTACAGAAACAAATTTTTGTTAAAAAATAAAAATAACATTTCAAGATGTTCTGTTTATTTTTATAATCTAGCAACTGAAAAGTAGACGTAAATCCAATGGGCAGTGATAAGGAAAAAACAAAATCTTGTCTACTTAGGTATATTTTAATACCATGTACCTTCAGGATTATGGCTCTCCACATTATCCTTATATGCGAAATGCCATGACTTCCTAGGAAAGGTTTCTGTTTAATCCGAATTGTTTTAATTTTTAATCCAGACGAGACCTTTTCCTACATTGATTACCAGCCAAGTCTAGGGACCACAGTTTACTTTTTAATCCATAGTTGGAGAAGAAAGGAATTTATATTTTTTCCAAGAGCATTTTTACGAAAGAGAATGAACGGACCAACCAAAAGCAAATAGGATTTGAACACGACCCGTCGATTCCACTTAGCGAACAGACAAATACTGCGCTATTCGCATATCTACAATATTATAAATGTTTTCAATCTATTTCTTGGAGACACAGGGGGTCATGGCTCTCCACATATTCCTTTTGCTTTTTAACCGCGAATTGACATGAATTCTTGGGAAATAGAGTGATGTGTTTCTTTTTCTACGGTTTTTAATTTAGAGTAGATGTTCTAGAATGGCTAATCACCTAAGGCTAAAGAGACCCGTTAGTGTTTAAATAAAACCATTAATCTTGTTTTAACCAGCGATCTTCCCAATTTCCTCTATCTATTTTTATTGCTGGTAATATTTTCTATCTATCTATCTATCTATCTATCTATCTATCTATCTATCTACCTATCTATCTATCTATGTGTGTGTGTGTATATATATATATATATATATATATATATATATATATATATATATATATATTCGGATTACTAACAAAAAAGAGAATGTCTCATATCGAGAAAATTTAACATCGAAAAACATAAAGGAGAAAAAAATTAATTATTTTTAATAATATGTGAAAATCTTCACCCTTTACCTGATGACGGTCGCGAGACCAGAAACGCGTGTAGTAAAATTATGGAAAATAAAGCATCATATTTAAAAAAAAAATCCACATTAGAACCAGAAACGTTTGCGGTATCTCTCATGTTTTTAATATATATATATATATATATATATATATATATATATATATATATATAGCGTAGTTGCAATATAAACCAAAGGATGGTTCTATGAGTGTTAAAGAAACACAAATGTGCCTGAGCGTGCATCTGCAGTAGTGATTGGCTAGTCACTCTAATAGACGTGTATCCTCGAATACGAATGGCCAGCTATATATATATATATATATATATATATATATATATATATATATATGTACAAACGCACATATATATATATATATTGGGTGTGTGTATATATATATATATATATATATATATATGTG